CAATGGGAGGGGTAAGGGCAGAGGGTGGGGTGGGAACCGGGTGGAGGGGAGCTATGGGGGGAAAAAAGAGGAACAACTGTAATAATCTGAACAATAAAGATTTAATTAAAAAAATGGTTAAGCAGATACATTTAATATTTTATCACAATTTTAAATAGTTTAAAACAATACATTTTATGTTATACTTCGCCATAGGACCCCTCTACCCCACATATATACATGCATATATACTAGTATATTAAAAGTACCAAAGCGTCTTAATATTATCTTGAATATTATTTGGCATTAAATAAAAGCACATTCATATTAAACAGATATAGTATTCATTAGTATAACTACTCATAAACTACTGTGATTCTTAGCAATAGTATTCATTTTTAAAGTCATATACAGTGCTTCTTAGAGAAGCTCAACTCTGGGAAAATTGAGGTAATGTCAACCACTCCACCATCATTTCAGTGTGGTACATTCAGGACTGGTGTTTTGGTTGCATATGTGCTATATTTTATACATTCATATCTCTTATGTTTTATTAGTTGGAATTTTCTTATGCACAGACCTTTTTTTTTCTATTCAACATATATGCATTATATTGTTTTTGGCCAAAAATTATTTGAAGAGTCCCAGGTTAGAAGTAGATACAATGTAGTCTTAAAAATAGCTTTAAAAAAGGTCAACTCAATGTCTTGCGTACTAAAATAATAATTCAGGATTCATTTTTCATCTTTTGACCTTACTTGTTCTTTAAAAAAATCAACAGATTAACACTTCCAAAATAACTTCAGCTTTGATTTTTTTCCAAAGGAGCTACACAAACAGCTTAAAAACTTAGTCTCTCAGGTGTCCTATACCTAAGTGAATAGTTATTAAAATCAGAAAGCAATCTGGTATAAATACATAGGAGAGAGAAAATAATAATGTCTACAAATCAATTCCACAAATAGTTACTGAACATTCTTTGGGCCAAGTGCAAGGTACATGGTGGTAAACACAGACTAAGAGGGACACAGCTCATTCTAACTCACATTGCTTAAAATTCCCAACATAACAAAACAAAAAAAGCAAAATGACTGAAGTGGCAGGTCCTCTAGGTCAAATGCAATTAAAGGTAAATGATTTGCACATTAGTGCTGATGGGAAATAACCTTTGAGTACTACTGAGGTGAAGATGAAACAATGATCATATTTATAATGTGTCTTGGTGTGGTCCTCTTTGGATTCCTTTTGTTTGGGGTTCTCTGCGCTTCCTGGACTTGTAAGTCTATTTCTTTCACCAGGTAGGGGAAGTTTTCTGTCATTATTTCTTCAAATAGGTTTTCAATATCTTGCTCTCTCTCTTCTTCTGGCACCCCTATAATTCGGATGTTGGTACGCTTGAAGCTGTCCCAGAGGCTCCTTACACTATCTTCGTATTTTTGGATTCTTTTTTCATTTTGCTTTTCCGGTTGGGTGTTTTTTGCTTCTTCGTATTTCAAATCTTTGACCTGATTCTTGCGATCACCTGGTCTGCTGTTGGGAGTCTGTATAATATTCTTTATTTCAGTCAGTGTATGCTTAATTTCTAGTTGGTTCTTTATCACAACATCGAGGGTCTCACTAGATTTCTTGAGGATCTCACTACATTTATCGGCAGTCTTACCAGTCTTTTCAAGGATCTCACTACATTTATCGGCGGTTTCTAGAAAATTCTTGAAAAACCTTAAAACTGTGGTTTTGAACTCTATATCTAGTAGTTTGCTTTCCTCCATTTCT